CGGTTTAGTAGTATTTAGTAGTAGTAGCGGTAGTGTAGTAGTAGTATTTAGGGTAGTGGGGTAGTTTTTGAGTAAGTAGCGGTGTAGTAGTAAGTAGCGGTAGTTGTTAAGTATTTAGTGGTAGTAGGTATTTGTATTTGGGGTAGTAAGTAGGTGTATTTGTAAGAAATTGAAATTTGTAGCGGTAGTATTTTAGTTGGTTGGGTTGTAGGGGGTTTGGGTAGGTAGTAGCGGTTTTGTAGTAGTAGGGGGGTTTAGTAGTAGTAGTGTAGTAGGGGTTTTGGGGGTAGTAGAAAAGTGGGGCGGTAGTTTTTAGTAGTAGCGGTTTTAAGTAGTAGTTAGTAGCGGGAAAGTAGTAGAAAAGTAGGGGGGTTTTAGTTTTAGTAGTGTAGTAGATAGTAGTGCGGTTTGTAGTGTGTAGCGGTTAGTATTTTTAGTATTTTAGCGGTGGTATTTTAAGTTGTAGTAGCGGTATTTTAGTAGGTAGTATTTGTAGCGGTAAGTTAGTTTAGTTAGTAGCGTAGTAGTAGTAGTATTTTAAGCGGGTAGTATTTTAGTTATTTAGAAAAGTAGTACCCGGAAAAGTAGTAGTTGTAGTAGCGGTTTGTAGTAGTAGTAGTAGTAGTGGGGTTTAAGCGGTAGTAGTTGTAGTAGCGGAAAAGTAGTGTAGGGGGTAGTGGGTAGTAGTAGCGGTATTTGTAGGGTAGTAGTATTTGGGGTTTAGTGTTGGGAGGTTGTAGTTTTTGGGTTAGCGGTTTTTGTATTTAGTGGTAGTAGGGGGGTAGTAGAGTAGTGGGTGCGGTATAGTAGTATTTGGATTTTAGTATTTAGTAGTAGGGTAGTGGCGGAGTAGTGGGGTTGTATTAGGGTGGGGTAGTAGTAGCGGTAGTAGTAGTAGTAGTAGCGGTAGTAGAAAGAGCGGAAAGTTGTAGCGGGGTTTTTTTAAGTAGTGGGGGGTTAGTAGTAGTACCCGGGGTAAGTAGTAGTAGCGGAAAGTTAGTAGTAGTATTTAGCGGAAAAGTAGTAGTAGGGGAGTAGTGTAGTGGGTGCGGTAGTTTGTAGTAGCGGTTGTAGAAAGAGGTAGTAGTAGGGGTAGCGGAAGTAGTGGGGAAAGTAGTATTTTTGGGGTAGTAGTAGTATTTGTATTTAGTACCCGGTTTGGGGTTAGTAGTATAGTAGGGGTATTGTAGTTAGGGGGTTTTGTAGTAGTAGTAGGGGTTTAGATAGTAGTTTTTAAGAAAGGCGGTAGTTGTTGTGGCCCGGTATTTAGTAGTGGGGTAGTGGGTTTTGGGGTATTTTATTTAGGGGGTTTTAAGTATTTTGGTAGTAGGGGTGGGTTTGGTATTTTAGTAGAAAGCGGTTAGTAGTAGTTTGTAGGGGGTAGTAGTTGGGGTAGTAGTAGTAGCGGTTAGTGAAAATATTTGTATTAGCGGTAGTATTTGTTTTGAAAGCGGTAGTAGTAGTGGGGTTTAAAGTGGTAGTAGCGGTAGTAGTATTTGCGGAAAGTAGTTTAAGTAGCGGTAGAAAAAAGTAGTAGTATTTTAGCGGTAGTGTAGTATTTGCGGTGTATTTTAAGTGTGGGCGGTTTGTAGTTAGTTTAGTGGTAGCGGTTGTAAGTTGATTTAGGGGTTTTGAGTTATTAGTTTTAGCGGTAGAGTATTTAAAAGTAGCGGAAAGTGAGTGGGGTAGTAGGGGGCCCGGTAGTAGTAGTAGTAGCGGTTTAGTAGTGGGGTAGTGGGTTTGTAGGGGGGTTTTGGGGGGTATTTAATGTAGTAGTAGTAGCGGTAGAAATTTATTTGTAGTGGCGGTAGTAGAAATTAAAGTGGGGTCCCCCCCCCCGGGTTTTATTTGGGAGTAGTAGCGGTAGTTGGTAGTAGTAGTGCGGTAAGTAGTAGTAGTAGCGGTAGTGTATTTGTAGTAAGTAGGGGTTTATTTGTATTTAGTGAGAAGCTTTTATTTAGTGTAGTAGTAGCGGTAGTAGTAGTGGGCGGTTAGGTGTATTTTAGGGGTTTAAGTAGTAGTAGTAGTAGGGTAGTAGTAGTGGGGTTGTAGAGTAGCGGAAAGTAGTATTTGTATTTAGCGGTAGTAGAAAGTAGGGGGTAGTAGTAGGGGTATTTGGGTTAGTAGTAGTAGTAGCGGTAGTAGTTGTAGTGGGGTTTGTAGTATTTGGGGGTTAGAGGTATTTGGGGTATTTTAGTAAGCGGTTTTAGTAGTAGTAGGTTTAGAGCGGTATTTAGTAGTGGGGAAAGTTATTTTAGCGGTATTTAGTAGTAGTAGTAGGGGGTTGTAGTATTTGCGTAGTGGGGAGTAGTAGTAGTAGTAGGGTAGTAGTTTAGTAGGGTAGGGGTATTTGAAAGTTGTGGGGCGGTATTTGTTGTAGTAGTAGTAGTTTTTGGTGCGGTAGTAGTAGTAGTGTAGCGGTAGTGAGTAGTAAAAAAAGTAGTGGGGTTTTAGTAGTAGTGGGGGGGTTTTGTAGTAGTGTAGGGGTTTTAAATTTTTTAGTAGTAGTAGTAGGGTAGTTTGTAGTAGTGTAGGCGGTATTTTTTCAGTAAGTAGTAGTAGTAGCGGTAGTGTAGATAGTAGTGAGGTAGTCAGTTTAGTAGTGCGGTAGTGTTTTGTAGCGGTAGTGTTGTAGTAGTAGTAGGGGGAGTGTGAGTGGGGTTAGGGTGTAGTAGTGAGCGGTATGATAGAGTAGTAGTATTTAGCGGTAGTAGTGTAGTGTAGGGGTTAGTAGTGTAGTCGGTGAGTAGTGGGGTTGGGTAGTTAGTTTTAGTAGTAGGGTAGTAGTAGTATTTAGCGGGTATTTTGTAGTGTAGGGGGTAGGTAGTAGTAGTAGTAGTAGCGGTGGGGTAGTAGTAGTAGGGGTAGTAGTATTTGTAGTGGGCGGAAAAGTAGTAGTGGGGTAGTAGTAGTGGGTAGGCGGTAGTAGTAGTAGTAGCGGGGTAGTAGTATAGTATATTTGCGGTTGTTTTGTGGGGTAGTGTTGTAGGGTAGTAGGGTTAGTGTAGTGTAGCAGTAGGAGAGTATAGCGGTAGTAGTATAGTAGTGGGGTTAGTGGTTTTTGTAGTAGTAGTAGTAGCGGTGGGTTAGTGATAGCGGTAGTAGTGGTTAGTAGGGTTGTAGTAGTAGAGCGGTATTTGTTTATTTGGGGTTTTTGTGGGTTGTAGTAGTAGAAGTAGCGGTAGTTTTAGTAGTATGTAGCGGGTATTTTAGTAGTGTAGTAGCGGTAGTGTAGTTATTTGCGGTAGTGTTATTTGTAGTGGGGGTTTGTTGTAGTAGTAGTGGGGTGGGGTATTTTAGGCGGTTAAGTAGAGTAGATTTCGGTATTTAGTAGTAGTATTTTAAGGGTAGTAGTTAGTAGTAGGGTAGTAGTAGTAGTAGTAGCGGTAGTTATGTGTAGGTAGTAGCGGTGTAGTAGTAGTAGTCTTTTAGTTGTAGTAGTAGCGGTGTGTGTAGTGTGCGGTAGTAGAGTAGTATTTTAGCGGTTAGTTGTAGTAGGGTAGTGTAGTTTTTAGGGAGTAGTAGTAGTGGGGTAGTAGTTGTAGGGGGTAGTATTTTATTTTAGCGGTAGTGTAGTAGTTAGTAGCGGTAGTAGTAGATAAGTAGTTTGTGCGGTGGGGTTGGTATTTTTGAGTGCGGAGTAGTAGTAGTGTGTAGCGGTTGGGGTAGTAGTGGGGTAGTAGGGGTAGTCGTAGTAGTAGTTAGTAGGGTAGTAGTAGTAGAGTGGGGTAAGTAGTAGTAGTGGGGAAAGGTAAAATATCAGAAAAAACAATTGTTGTTAATGTAGCAGGTTTTATTATAGCAGGGTTTTTGTTGTTGTTTTTTAGCAGGGTTGTTTTTAAAAGGTGTTTTTGTAGCAGGTGTTGCGGTAGGTTTTTTGTAGAGGTGTTGTTGTTGTTGTAGCGGTTTTTGTTGTTGTAGAGGGTTGTTGTTGTTTTGCAGGTGTGTTTTTTGTTGTGGGGTGTTTTTTTGTTTTTTAGAGGTGTTGTTTTTGTTTTTGCAGGTGTTTTTTGTTGTTGTTGTGCAGGTGTTTTTTGTAACGGGTGTTTTGTTTATTTGAGGATCATCTACTGCCATTAGCATTACTGACCGCGGGCGGCTATGAGCAACACTACACCGCTGGGGCTATGGCAACACTGCACCGCTGGCGGCTATAGCAAACTGCCCCAGTGGCGGCTATGAGAAATTTGCAAGCTGGCGGCTATGGCAAACTGCACCAGTGGCGGCTATGGCAACACTGCAGCAGCTGGGGGTTTTGAGCAAATTGCAGCAGTGGCGGCTATGAGCAAACTGCACCAGTGGCGGCTTGGAACACTGCCCAGTGGCGGCATGAGCAACACTGCAGCGCGGCGGCTATGGCAACACTGCCCCCGCGGCGGTATGAGAAAAATTGCAGCAGTGGGGCTATGGCAACACTGCACCGCTGGGCTATGGCAACACGCACCAGCTGGCGGCTATGGCACCCACTGCTCCAGCTGGCGGCTATGAGCAACCTGCCCAGCTGGGGTTAATGAGCAACACTCCCCCAGCTGGCGGCTTGAGCAACACTGCTCCCTGGGCGGCTATGAGCAACACGCTCCAGCTGGCGGCTTGAGCAACATGCTCCCCCGGGGCGGCTTTGAGCAACCACTGCACCGCTGGGGGGCCATGAGTAACACTGCACCAGGGGCAGACTTAAGAAGTACTTGAAGTTGGTTTTGGGGGAATGTTTCTGAAAAGAGTTTATGATAACATTACTTTGCCCGCTGGGTCGATGCCAGGTGCTGTGTTGATATGTTGCTGCAGCTGCTGTTGTGCTGCTTGCTGCGGGAAAGGCTGTTCCTGATCATCTGTTGCGTTTGCTGCTGTCGCTTTGAACTTGCTGTTGCCGTGGTGTTGCCTGTGACTGGGGTGCTGTTGTTTTGTTGGGATGCTGCTGTTGATACCCTGTTGTTGCTGCGCTTTTTGCTGTGTGTTGAGACCTTGTGTATGATTCTGTTGTTGGTCTGTTTTGTTGTGGTGGGAGGCTTGTCAGTGGGCGGTGTGGGTCGTTGTGGGCCCGTGGGCTCTGAACGACCCCAGAAGCCACAGCCACCGTTCAGAAAGGCTGAGGAGAGAGAGAGAGAGAGAGAGAATTAAGAGCTTCACAAACTTGAAGGAAATTGTGTGGTTAAATAATTTTATATTCACAGCGTCAAATATATTTAATATAATATTCTTGATAATGACAATCATCTACACAGCTGTAAGCAACGACACGACTCTCATTATCACCCCTTGACAGCGTCTTACGTGGTTTAGAGAGACACGTCAGTAAACACTAGGAAATATTTACTAGAAAACGTTTCGGTCTTGGGATCTTGATCACCTCTAACACACAGAGGTTAAAGACAGTATAGGCGGAATGTAAGGTGTGAGTGACACACGGTGAGCTGAAGAATGTCATGTTGGGATGAGGACGGGTGACTCATGTGTTGTTAGGTAGGTGATGCTTTAGCTGATTCAGTATCATGTATGTTAATGTTTTTTTAAATTTTTGTAATTTCCAGTATTGTGTTGTATGGTGTCGGTGACGGCGATTAGCGAGGCTTCCAGACATCGTCGTCTAAGATCTTGTTCAGCGAGGGCGAACTGTACCTCATCCCAGTTCATTAAATGTCCCGTGGAGTCCCTGTGGAGGACACGCGTACCTCGTCTCTGTTGCTGGCGTTTTGATGTTCGTTCAGCCGGTCCCAAAGATTTCTGCCTGTTTCGCCTAAGTTATTTATGATTTCTGGCCGTCCCATTTCGCTCCATTTGTTGTGGGAGCACAGGTCTTGTAGTTTCCGTGATAGCTTCAGTTTTTGTTGGTTATTGACAGTGGTAATCTTAGTATATATTCTGCAGTTCGTCTGTCAGGAGTGGGAAGTGAAGCACAAATCTGAACTCACTGAGCATATCGCAGTTCATCGGAGCTTTCTCTACCGTGAGCGTAAACAGTAGGAGAAAAAGTATCTCGATGAGGTGAGTTGTTGAGGAGTGGACCTGGATACCATTATCTCAGCAAGACAATCATCCAGGATGCTGTGTAGCTTCTGAAGACTATTAGCTTTGATTAGAAAAGAGAAGCATTCTTTGTATGCTATGTCCATAGTGTGTCACAGTGTCAGACGGTATAGACCTTGGTAATAGATACCGACAAACTGGTTTAGAAATACACCTGAGCAAACATTAAGACATACTGGAAACGACCTGATACTGAACCACGCAAAGCACCACCTACCTAACAACACAGGAGTCACATGATCCCGTTGTCTACCTGTCCTCACCCCAGTATGACATTCTTCAGGTCACCATGTGTCACTCATTTCACTCTCCGCCTATACATGTCTTTTTAAACTCTGTGTGTTAGAAGTGATCAAGGTTCCAGGACCAAAATGATTTCTAATATGTCCTAGTGTTTGCTGACGTGTCTTTTTAAACCAGTTTGTCGGTATATATATTACCAAGGTTTATACCACTTCAACACCTGTTCGAGCACTCCATCACCTGCCTGAATGATAAAATACCTGTCTATTATGAACACATGTACTGTTAAAAGAACTTGTTTAATCTCACTGTAAGGAAGACTCTCAGTAGTCAACAGAGCTGTCAAGAATACTAGCAGTCAGTAGTGCAGTCAACAATACCAGCAATCAACAGAGTAGTCAGGAACACCAGCAATCAACAGAGTAGTCAAGAATACCAGCAATCAACAGAGTAGTCAAGAACACCAGCAATCAACAGAGTAGTCAAGAACACCAGCAATCAACAGAGTAGTCAAGAATACCAGCAATCAACAGAGTAGTCAAGAACACCAGCAATCAACAGAGTAGTCAAGAACACCAGCAATCAACAGAGTAGTCAAGAACACCAGCAATCAACAGAGTAGTCAAGATACCAGCAATCAACAGAGTAGTCAAGAATACCAGCAATCAACAGAATAGTCAAGAATACCAGCAATCAACAGAATAGTCAAGAACACCAGCAATCAACAGAGTAGTCAAGAATACCAGCAATCAACAGAGTAGTCAAGAATCTGAGGAGGCACAAGTTTATTAGATAAGATTGGAAGCACCACTGGTGGTCGAGGTGGTATAAAGTACACCGGCACTCTGAACACTTGTTCAGAGTGCCGGTGTATGTTTACCTTTGCCCTTTCCCTACATTATCTGCAAGACTATGCATGACACCTGGCACTAGGTGGCGCACCTGTGCGTAGCAACAGTCGTCTGATGCTACGCATCTACGCTGCTTGTGAAACACCTACGCCAAGAATGAGTGTTGTTTAGTGCGTATGTTTGGACTCACGAGTAGGAAGAAGTGCGTAGTTACCAGGAGTATGTTAGTAAGTTTGTGCAGGTTTATTGATACGTAGTATTTGGTAATGGTTATTTAAAATTTTATGTGTGTACTCGTCTAGCTGTGGTTGCAGGGGTCGAGTCACAGCTCCTGGCCCTGCCTCTTCACTGGTCGCTACTAGGTCACTCTTCTTGCTCCATGAGCTTTGTCATACCTCTTCTTAAACCTATGTATGGATCCTGCCTCCACAACATCGCTTCCCAGACTATTCCACTTCCTGACAACTCTGTGACTGAACAAATACTTCCTAACATCCTTGTGATTCATCTGTGTCTTCAACTTCCAACTGTGTCCCCTTGTTGCTGTGTCCCATCTCTGGAACATCCTGTCTCTGTCCACCTTGTCGATTCCTCTCAGTATTTTATATGTCGTTACATCATATCCCCCCTATCTCTCATGTCCTCCAGTGTCGTAGGACGATTTCCCTTAACCTCTCCTCGTAGGATATACCCTTAGCGCCGGGACAGTCTTGTTGCAAAGCTTTGTAATTTCTCTAGTTTCCTTACATTCTTGGCTAGGTGTGGATTCCAAACTGGTGCCGCATACTTCAATATGGGCCTAACGTACACGGTGTACAAGGTCCTGAACGATTCCTTATTAAGATGTTGGAATGCTGTTCTGAGGTTTGCTAGGCGCCCATATGCTGCAGCAGTTATTTGATTGATGTGCGCTTCAGGAGATGTGTCTGGTGTTATACTCACCCCAAGATCTTTTTCCTTGAGTGAAGTTTGTAGTCTCTGGCCCCCTAGACTGTACTCCGTCTGCCGTCTTCTTTGCCCTTCCCCAATCTTCATGACTTTGCACTTGGTGGGGTTGAACTCCAGGAGCCAATTGCTGGACCAGGTCTGCAGTGTCCAGATCCCTCTGTAGTTCTGCCTGGTCCTCGTCCGATTGAATTCTCATCAACTTCACGTCATCTGCAAACAGGGACACTTCGGAGTCTATTCCTTCCGTCATGTCGTTCACAAACACCAGAAACAGCACTGCTCCCAGTCTCGTCTTCCAGGAGAATCCAGTCAAGTTTTCAGCTGCGCATCCAGCGACTTGTCAGTGCGCTCGAAACGTTCGTAATTATCTCTTGCGAACTTTATAAACAGCGCCGAGTATGGCACAGCGCAGCTTCCTGACGCTGATCCTCAACACTATGGCACAGTGCAGCCTCCTGACACTGATCCTCAACACTATGGCACAGTGCAGCTTCCTGACACTGATCCTCAACACTATGGCACAGCGCAGCTTCCTGACACTGATCCTCAACACTATGGCACAGTGCAGCCTCCTGACACTGATCCTCAACACTATGGCACAGTGCAGCTTCCTGACACTGATCCTCAACACTATGGCACAGCGCAGCTTCCTGACACTGATCCTCAACATTATGGCACAGCGCAGCTTCCTGACACTGATCCTCAACATTATGGCACAGCGCAGCTTCCTGACACTGATCCTCAACATTATGGCACAGCGCAGCTTCCTGACGCTGATCCTCAACACTATGGCACAGCGCAGCTTAATGACGCTGATCCTCAACACTATGGCACAGCGCAGCTTAATGACGCTGATCCACAACACTATGGCACAGTGCAGCCTCCTGACACTGATCCTCAACACTATGGCACAGTGCAGCTTCCTGACTCTGATCCTCAACACTATGGCACAGTGCAGCTTCCTGACACTGATCCTCAACACTATGGCACAGTGCAGCTTCCTGACACTGATCCTCAACACTATGGCACAGTGCAGCTTCCTGACACTGATCCTCAACACTATGGCACAGTGCAGCTTCCTGACGCTGATCCTCAACATTATGGCACAGCGCAGCTTCCTGACACTGATCCTCAACACTATGGCACAGCGCAGCTTCCTGACGCTGATCCTCAACATTATGGCACAGCGCAGCCTCCTGACACTGATCCTCAACACTATGGCACAGTGCAGCTTCCTGACACTGATCCTCAACACTATGGCACAGCGCAGCCTCCTGACACTGGTCCTCAACACTATGGCACAGCGCAGCTTCCTGACACTGATCCTCAACACTATGGCACAGTGCAGCTTCCTGACACTGATCCTCAACACTATGGCACAGCGCAGCTTCCTGACACTGATCCTCAACATTATGGCACAGTGCAGCTTCCTGACACTGATCCTCAAACACTATGGCACAGCGCAGCCTCCTGACACTGATCCTCAACACTATGGCACAGCGCAGCTTCCTGACACTGATCCTCAACATTATGGCACAGCGCAGCTTCCTGACACTGATCCTCAACACTATGGCACAGCGCAGCCTCCTGACACTGATCCTCAACACTATGGCACAGCGCAGCTTCCTGACACTGATCCTCAACATTATGGCACAGCGCAGCTTCCTGACACTGATCCTCAACCACTATGGCACAGCGCAGCCTCCTGACACTGATCCTCAACACTATGGCACAGCGCAGCCTCCTGACACGATCCACAACATTATGGCACAGCGCAGCTTCCTGACACTGATCCTCAACATTATGGCACAGCGCAGCTTCCTGACACTGATCCTCAACATTATGGCACAGTGCAGCTTCCTGACACTGATCCTCAACATTATGGCACAGCGCAGCTCCTGACACTGATCCTCAACACTATGGCACAGCGCAGCTTCCTGACACTGATCCTCAACACTATGGCACAGCGCAGTTTCCTGACACTTATCCTCAACACTATGGCACAGTGCAGCTTCCTGAC